AGGATAGATACAACAATTAACACATTCATAATTCCTCTTTGATTCACAATAAGAACCAAGAGTTGGGGAAATTTGGCAAAGTATGTGATTCAACCAAAATTCCAACAATTAACATCAATTACACAATAATCTACACTAGTGTTGTAATAGACAATCATAAATTAACATAATAAATGATCAATTTCGACTTTAGAAGAAAAAATATTTAGGAGAAAAGCCCTAAGAATTTGGTCAATCGAAATTAAACTTTGAAATGACCTTTTGGGGAAAAGGTTCCGAACAGTGAAGAACCCATACCTTAATGAAGCTATATTCCCAATAATTGAGTAGAAATCTTGGAGATTTTGTCTTCTTCATCAGGCTTCTTGTTATTCAATGGACGATGAATGAAGAGAGATAAAGTAGAGACAAGTTATAGCAATTTGGGTTTCAATTTGGGGTTATGTTGTTGGAGTGGGAATTTAATGCAAATTGACCTGAAGTTAAGAGATAATCCATCCCTCATTAAGTTAGACTTCGAAAAGTGAAGTCCAACTTGACTTCACTGCGATCCCCTATGTATTACCACACCCTACATCACGGTTCATAAAGTTTTCAACGGACCACGTTGGTGGTCATGGAGTAGTGAGGTAGTATCTCCCCCAACGAGCCCCTCTCTATTTCTCCCACTAAGGAAGGTCCACAGAGCATTTTATCCCTTCCATGAATATGAATCACAGCCTGTCAAGTTTCTTGTGGTGCTCTTAGGCACTAGCCCCCCAATACCCCACCACGCTCACGAAACTTTGCTACTGAGTTTTCACGGAAGCCCTCTGTTAAGTTCACAACGAGCCGTTGTGTGCCCTGGTGTCTTAGATTGTACATAGGATACCTTGGAATCTACCCCCCATAACTATGGCCCCTTCACGAGCTCCCCACCTTTGTCGTGTTCATCACCATGAGCAGTCTTTATGCTTGTGAAGAGTTAGGCAGTAACATGTCTTCTTTAGCAGCCGCGGCCGCATTGCATGGGCTTTCCTTTTAAGGTTGGCACACCTCACTTTGCGTAGAACCCTTATACCTACTTCAGAACATATATCTACCCTCATAATGTCACCATGATGAAAACCTTAGACACATTCTTCAATCCATCAAAACACCCCACTAGCCCAAGTAGTAAGATCACTGGACGTTGTGGACGTTCCATTACGTTTTAACTTCACAACTTCCTAAATGTTTTATATTCATTATTTTAGGCCTTCGGATAGTGAAAATCTTTAGAATCACATGTTAGGATCTAGAACACATATTAGACATTTGTAGTGTTACACTAAGACAGTTAAATTGATCGATTGTTGGAGTGGGTTAATATGAGGCTCAACTCGAGAGAGTGAGCCCAAGTGTCAACCAACACCCACTTCTTAAGAAAATGAGTGGTCTACGATGTAGGTTTGTCTTCCTGCATAAAGTAGGTGTTCGAAAGGAACCCATTTTAAATGAATCTACAAATAACCTATAAAAAGCAAGTACTATAAATTTTTATATTAAATAGTATTCACGTCACTTCCCGAGAATTCCCCCTTTCATTTCTTCGATTATATTTTTATTTTTTTTACATTACTACTTGTGACAAAGACACATCTAAATTTGATGATTGCGTCACCCCTTCCCCCTTTTTAAGAAATTATATTTTTATTTTATAATGCGTATAACAACGACTAGTTTGAATATAATTTTTCTTCTATGTAGATTTTCACTACCACTCCCTTTGGACACGACTACAACTTTTAGTTTTGAGCTAGTGTATGAATCTTCAATGTTAAATCAACTTTATAGCTTGGCCAAACTGAGCACTTAATTCTTCGTTTGTGCAAATAAAATTTTAAAAGTTGGATTTCTTAAAATGATGAGATTACTATAGTATATACATGAAGTTAATTGAATTGGCTAGTAAAAATATCATGACAAGTGTTTAATGAAAGTTTCATTTATCTCAATAAATTGGCTAGTAATATTATTTCAAAAATATTATATAGAGTAGGCAAAGGACTAAGTCATACCAATCTTATACGTCCAATGTAAACTATGTTGTTTCTTGTAAGGCCAAATACATGTTAATGATTGACTTGACAAGTTGTAATTCAATGAACTCATAACCTAAAGTATGCAAATGATTGGGACAAGTCCCAACATACCCTATCTAAATGAACTTGTTAGCATAGTAGCATATTGAAAAATCCCTTTTTACATTCATAAAGAACTATAAAAAACTACTAAATAATATTGAACAAGATAAGGTCAGTAATGAAAAATGTAAAAGCTTTTGAGTTTTTAAGTAGACCTAGAATAGGGTGTTAAAGGAACTGAGATAAGTCTCACTTGCACCTAAACAATTATTTTAAAGATGCTCACATAATAGGGTGTTAAAAATCGAGAGACAAGACTCATCCACACTATAATTATAATGAAAGTTGTAAGTTCACATTCATCAAGAATAGAAAGGGTTGAAAAGTAATCCATTGAGATAAGCATACCTCATACTAGAAGCAAACTTACATAATGTATGAGACAACTCTAAAAGTTTTAAAGTATGATAAATTGAGCTAAGCACTGATTGACTAGTAATGACCTTGTGCAAGCACATGTAACGAGATTAGACTACCACCAAGGTGGATAAGGGTCTCCGAATTCTCCTAGTCATTGAACTATGTCGCCAACATAGGTTACTAGTTAGTGGATCCAACTAAGAAAGCTAGGAATTCTTCCGCTGCAATTCAGCCAGTGAAGTACCTCATTTTTAGTATAGGGAAGACACTTGATTTAATGTTAGATACCATGATCTATGGCGGTTAAATACTAAATATTTCTTTAAACAAGTAAGGAAGGAAGAAAAAAAGAACTAGGAATATAAGGGGTGTTCAGAGAGGATGACCAAAGGGTGATGTTAGACTACATAATGATGTAAGTCATTCTTAGTCATTGCACAGAAAGATCCCAATGGAACTGTTATGAGAATAACATATGTCAACCTAGCATGTAAAGAGTGAACATGATATCAAAGAAGAAGAAATGAAAGTTCAAAGAGAACCAAGTTAGTATAAGCATATGTATATCAAATCATGCGTTTTTGATACGAATGAAACTTTAACAGTTATTGTATTATGCTAGTAAAGGATGCAAAGAATAATGACTCATCCATTGGAGTATGAATATATGTCCCAACATCTTAATATTATGCAAATGATCAAATATTGGGCATAAAAAATAAATATTGGCTTATAAAGACTTCATGCCTAGTTTAACAAGAATGGATAGAAAAACATGTTAGTAGGGTAGCCAAATCATCTCCTTATTCTTTTGGATAACTTACTTGAAAATGGACTAAAATTAATGATTGTACTCATAATTATAACATAGAATTAAACGATATTATTAAACTACACAACAAAAAGAAGAAAAGAGTAAAAAATAAACTAAGTCTGGGGAGACGAGCTCTCCTCCTAAAGGGAATGAATTAAATTTTGCTCGAGTTGTTCTAAAATTATGTCAATGATTCCAAGGTCTTATGTTCATATAGAAAATGAATTATGTCATTTAAATTCATTAAAATATGTCATATTTATAACATTATTCATATTAAACGAAATAGGAAACTAAACTGACTTTACTTTGCAAAAATTGCTTGTTTCTATAGGAAGAGCTTTCCTTGATAGCCCTTATGTTTTTATGTGCATACAACCATACTTAGTAAAAGTATTTACTAACCCATATACAATTACTATTTTTATATGTGCAGGTCCTTGAAGCGGGTTGGTGTTTTGACTAGTACTCAAGACTTTGGTAGGTCCTCTTATGTTCGAGGATGCGTACGCTTTATTCTATAGCTTTAGTAGATTATAAATAGCTAGTGGATATTGTCCCTAGTGTTTCCTTTCAAACATTTGTTCAAGCTTTTGTATTAAGACCTGTTTGGAAACTATTTAACCTGTTAATAGATGGTTTTTTATTTTGAACTGTTAGTATATTACACCTATTCAAGAATAATAAGAAATGTAAGTACACTTCAGTAAAGTAAAAAAGTTTTAAATTTTCCACAAAATTTAACTAGATAATTATGATGAAAGCTAAGAAGAGTCTTGTCTGCGACCTTTGAGAGGTTAACGACGCCGGTCTCATCAATGGCATAGAACTCGGGTCTGAAAAAGTTGGTATCAGAGCTTAAAGTTAAACTACCTAGGAACTATGTCTCAAAACAACTATGTTGCGTAGTTTCTAGCTTATGGTTGTGCAACACAACAATGACTTAGAGACTTATTGATATTAAGAATATTTCTTTCTTCTAGTCTTTATCGTACAGTATAGAGATTTGACATTTATTGTTAGTCTAGCATCTAACTTCCGTATTGTGTTCATGTGTAGAAAAATGAACACAAGAAGAAATATAGGCAAGAGAGTTGGACAAGCAGTTGCTGGGGGAAATAAAGCTCCTCTTCAAGACCTAGATAATAAAGTGCAATGACATGTCAACCCAGCTGCGTTGACAAATTGAGAAGTAAGAGCAGTACTTGTTCAGATGGCCTAAGCCATCACTGCTTAGGCATAGGCTATCACAGCCCTAGCAACTAGAGAGGGTGTTCCAAGGGAGAACCCAAGATTGTACCAGGATGAATCCTCCAGTCTATTTCGGCTCCTGAACAAATGATGATCCTTACGATCTTGTAGAAGATGTCAACAAGATTCTCTGTACTATCGGTGTGAATAAAGAGGAGAAGGCTAAGTTTGCTTCATACTAGATCAAAGATGTGGCTCAGTTATGGTACAAGATATGTGTTGATGGCCAAGTACTAGGAGAAGTCCCAATCACTTGGGACATTCTCAAGACTGTATTATTGGAAAATTTCTTTCCTCAAGAGTACATAGAGGCTAAGGCTGAGGAGTTCATCAACCTACTATAAGGAGGTATGTCAGGCAAGGAATACTCCTTGAAGTTTGTTAAACTTTCCAAATATTCTTCATCCGTAATGTCTAGAAGCAAGGATAAGATGAAAAGGTTTGTGACTACTGTATGGGTGGATCTGGAGGAGGAGTTTCGGGCAGCCATGTTGCATGAAAACATGGACCTTGGTAGGTTGATTTTACATGAACAACAGGTTGAGGAGAGTCATCGAATGAAGATAGTCAAAAAAGGCAAAAAGCCTGGGCCATCAGATCATATTTTCTCAAGCACTTGTAATAGTTCGTTGGGAGTCATGGACAATCCCAAAGAGGACAAGTCTGGCCCCAAGAAGTGAAATGATAGAAATGCCCAGCGTGACAGAAAGTCGTGAGGTAAAAGGGGTCGTTTGCATGAAGGCGAGTGCATGGTAGGTTCTAATGCCTTCTATGGGTGCAGTATGAGTGGGTATATGATGAGGGACTGCCAACATGTGAAGAATCAGGCAAAGACAGATACTCAGCCTCGGCCTAATCCTACTGCTACAGCCATACCTCCCAAGAGGAACAATATCTATTCTTTGAAAGGTAGAGAGGAGCTGGAGAAGTCAGCTGATGTGGTAACAGGTACATTGTATATCTTTTCTTTTCCTGTCTATGCATTGTTAGATCTAGGATCCACCTTGTCTTTTGTTACTCGTCTTGTTGCTTATAAATTTGTCTTGCTTCCTGAGATCTTGCATGAATCTTTTATAGTGAGTACTCCGATAGGAGATAGAATTAGAGCTGAAAGAGTATATAGAGATTGCCCAATAATTGTTCCTAATATAGTTACCTATGCTGACCTTATAGAATAACCATGCTTGACTTTTATAATTTTGGGTATGGATTGACTTCATAAATTCTATGGTATCGTAGACTGTCAAAATAGGGTAGTAAGGTTTCAGCTCCCTAATAAGTTAGAGCTTCACTGGGAGGGGTGTAGTTAAAATGAAATAAGCCAAATAGTTTCCCATCTAAAATACAATAAGATGTTATCTAAGGGGTATTTATACAACTTAATACGAGTCAATGAGTTAGAAAATGAATTTCCTTCCATAGACTTTATATCCATTGTGACTGAGTTTCAAGATGTCTTTCTGGAAGAATTACCAGGATTTCCTCTTGAACTCAAAATTGACATTATTGTTGACTTATATTTCAACACCAAACAAATTTTCTTTCATCCCTATAGAATGGCTCCAGTTGAACTCAAATATTTGAAGATGTAGTTAAAGGATCTACTTGAGAAGGGCTCCATCCAGCCAACCATATCCCCATTGGGTGTTGTAGTGTTGTTCATTAAGATAAAGGATTGAACCCTTAAAATGAATATTAATTATCGACAAATCAACAAAGTCACTATAAAGAACAAATTCCCTCTTCCCAGATTTGATGATCTATTTGGTCAGCTCCAAAGTTTCTTTTCTAAAATAGATATCCGATCAGGGTACCACCATATTTGACAGAGACAACAAGACATTTCTAATACTGCCTTCCGTATTAGGAATTGGAATTTTTAGTTTCTTATCATGTCATTTGGTCTCATTAACGCACTAGCTGAACTTATGGACCTTATGAATAGGGTCTTCCATGAATGCCTTGATTCTTTTGTCATAGTATTTAGAGATCACACCCTCATATACTTTAAGATCGGAGAAGAGCGTGACCATCATTTGAGAATGACATTGCAAATACTAAGGGACATTAGTTGTATGCATAATTTACCAAATCTGAGTTTTGCCTGATATAAGTTACCTTCATTTGGGTTGTGGTGTCCGACCAGGGTGTAGAGGTTAATCCGAGGAAGATTGAGTCAGTAAAGAACTAGACAAGACCCCTCACTCCTACAGACATCTGGAGTTTCTTGGGTTTGGCTATTTATTATCGCATGTTTGTTAAGGGATTTTTCGTTGTTGTTGCTCCATTGAAAGCATTAACTAAGAACAAAGCAATGTTTGAGTGGTCTGAAACTTGTAAAAAGGGCTTCCAAGATCTCAAAGACCAACTCATTTAAGCCTATTTCTCACATTATTGAGGATTTGATAAGGGTATGTGGTGTACTATTATGCTTCCTGAGTAGGTTTGGGATGTGTTCTTATGTAGGATGGCAAGGTGATTTCATATGTATCAAGACAGTTGAAATCCAAGAGGAGAATTACCCTACCAATGATCTTGAGTTAGATGTTGATGTACTTGGGTTAAAACATCAATGAAATTACTGATATTGTATACATGTTGATGTATTTACTGACCGTTAAAGTCCTCGGTATGTTTTTAAAGAGAGAATAGAATCTTCGTCAGAGAAAATAGCTAGAGCAGCTCAAGGATTATTACATGAGTGTCCACCATCAGCAAGGTAAGGCCAATGTAGTGGACGATGCTTTTAGCCGATTGAGCATGATCAATGTGTCTCAAATTGATGATGCGAAGAAGGAGCTTGTTATAGAGGTACACCAATTGGCTAGGTTAGGTGTACAACTTGTTGATATACAAAGTGGAGGTGTTTCAGTTCATTCTCTTTTTGAATCATCATTTGTTGTAGATGTTAAATCGAAGCAACATCTCGACCCAGTATTCATGGAGTTGAAAGGCTCATTGTTAAGTAAGTTGTTGAATGAATTATTCTCTCTATGGGGGATAGTGTTTTTAGATACCAGGGAAAATTATGTTTGCCCAATATTGATAATCTTATACCAAATATTATTGAAGAATCTCATGGCTTCAGGTATTCAATTTATCAAGGATTCACCAAGAATATCATGATCTCAAGGAGATCTACTAGAGTGAAGGTATGAAAGTGGATATTTCAATGATTATCATGGAGTGCCCCAATTGCAAATAGGTTAAGGCCTAACACCTTAATCCATGAGGTCTTACATAGTCAATTAAGATCCCAACATTGATGTGGGTGGCAATTAAAATAGACTTTGTGGTTTGTGTGCCTAGGATCAGGAATTTGCATAATTCCATTTGGGTCATTGTTGACAGGATGACTAAGTCTGCTCACTTCATTCATGTAAAGTCTACATACAAGGCAGATGATTTTACAGAGTTGTATATTGATTAGATAGTGAGGTAACATGGGATCCATTTATCTGTCATTTCGGATAGGGTATCATAGTTCACTTCTCACTTTTGGAGATCTTACAAAAAGAGCTTGGGTACAAAGGGGAAGCTGAGTACTGCTTTTCATCCTCAAATGGATGGAGAAGCAGAAGAGTACCATTAAGACCCATGAAGACATACTGAGAGCATGTGTTATTAAGTTCAATAATAACTAGAATTGCAATATTGGGATTGTGTTTTTTTGAAGCACTGTATGGAAGGAGATGTAGGTCCCAAGTTTGTTTGTTTGAGGTAGGGAAGTATTTTATCCTTGTCCTTGAGATCATACATGAGTCTATGTAAAAGGTGAGAATGATAAGGGATAGATTGGGTACTACATATACTCGTAAAAAACCTATGCTGATAAAAAGAAGAGGGCTCTTGAATTTGAGGTAGATGATCAAGTCTACCTAAAGATATCACCCATGAAATGGTTGATGAGGTTTTCAAATAAAGGGAATATAGCTCTAGGTGTATAGGTGCTTATTAGGTCCTACAGCTAGTAGGGAATAATGCCTATGAACTAAAGTTACCAAATGACTTTGCTTCTGTTCATCAAGTGTTTCATGTTTCGATTCTTAAAAAGTGTCTAGGTGATCCAGCATCCATGCTAATTGTTAAAGGGTGAGGAGTAAATGGAAACCTTTCATATGAAGAGGTTCCAGTTGAAATTTTAGATCGCAAAGTAAAGAAGTTGAGGAACAAGGAGGTTTCCACCGCAAAGGTGTTATGGAGGAACCACCTTGTTGAGAGAGAAACATGTAAGGCCGAGGCTGACATGAGATCCCGTTACCCTCAGTTGTTTATGTTTTTGAGGTTAGATATACTCTTCCTATGTCTGATTTTGTTTATGAAACTCTAAATTTTAGTGCATTTGTTGGTTTTGGTGTTTTAAGCCTGTAATTGTGTTTTATACTTGCACTATATGTCACCACCCAAAAGAACCCCCTAGAAGTTAGGAGGAACCCTTATTTTATGATCAGGCGTACTTAACCTTGGGGGTCTTGTACAAATGTTTCAACTAGCATTCCCTACATAAGACATAAAAAGTAGTGCAAAATTTAAACTTTTTACCAAAAAACTAATAAAAAGGAAAAAATTTATAAATACTTAAGATATATCATCGTGACAAGCCAAACATAAAGACACAACATAAATAACTTAGGGACACGACCCTTTACATTAAATGGAATGCATAATAATTCATTGAATAAGAAATTAAGAAACAAACTATGACCTCAAATATGTGTGGACATACATTATATTGGGAGGAACTTTCCCGAGCTTCACCTTCTCGAATTCAACCTTCAAAATGCTTCTAACGTATACATATAGTATAGAAAAATATGCGGTTTGTACAAATAATGTACTATTTATGTTATATGCAAAACATGTGAAAAGGGACATTTTAGTAAAATACCATTTCATGACAATTAAGTAAAACATTCGTGAATTTAGAAAAAAATTAACATGAGAACCATAATTTAAAAATTAGAGAAGAACTCATATAATAGTAACCAAAAAGTGGCATCTACAGTAACATCAATAAAATTATAGTAAACTCCAACTAAAATTACAGTGAACTAATTAAGAATTTACAACGAAACCATTTAAACAATTACAAAAAATCATTTAAAGCATTCATAATGAATTATCCTATTCTACATGAGTGAACTTCCAAGGCCACGCGAAAGAGAAAGTTAACTCATTTTCCTTAAGAGTTTCCCTACCTCAGGTTTATCCTAAGACTTACTGAGGAAAGACATGAAGGAAGAATGCATATGCCTCCTTCAATACACAGTAAAACAATCCATAAGACTACCGTAATGTGAAAGGTTATAAAATTCATCTCTAGAACACATCATACTTATCAATTAGATCGTACCAAAATATCCCATATATTTCTAACAATAGAATCAATAAAAAAATATGTAATGTTATTCTTAGATGAGGTCGATGTAAAAAATAATACATATCATAATTTTAACCAAGTAAACATCCATATTATTGTAGTAGTCGTATCAACATGTTTCTTTATATACATACACTTAATCTATAAAATCATAGTAGATATTATTCCCTCAATTGACTTAACAAAATTTCATTATTCACTAAGAAACCCATATATCTCATGAGAACTTTACTATCTGTATTTTGCATTGTAATGATATTCATTATGTAGTAATACTTTTCGATTTTTTTAATGTTGTCACTTCAGCAAAGTCACCTTGCTTCACCGCATCTACCTCATATACATTATGATCAAGAAAATTTCACTTCTCTATTAAGAAGTCAAAAAATGTTACCCAAGACATAGGTATTGTCACTACTGGCTGGACACAATAGAAACAAAGTGTCGAAGCCTCTCATCTATAATCATTTTATGATGCAGGTCAAAACAATCAACAATGAAAGTATAAACAACTTCATAATCAATGCTCATGAAGCATGGGGGTTTCTACTTTATGAACGTAAAAAAATGAAAATAATGTTTATCACTAGTCATTATACACCTTGTAGTAAACCGAGAAAATATACCTATTTCCAAGGAGAGTTTTTTTTTCTTTTTGGTGTTTCTATTTAAACATCTAATGCTTAAGCACTAACTATATTTGAAATAGAATAAAAAAGTTCAGATACCAATTTGTATAACCTATTCCAATTGGATTCAAGTTATAGAAAGAAAGAAAGAATAAATAAAGTTTTTCTA